AGAACTACGTGGTACGGTCTAATGAGTTAATGTTTATGGTATAGCAATCGATCACCAATCTAATACACGATAAGGAAAACATCAAACACTCGTAAAGTAAAGGTTTCGTTAAGGTTACACTAATTTTAGAATATATACTTATTAGTAGTGTATAACCTTAAAATAAAAGCCTCGTCTTGCGGTTTGGCACACCGTTTTACTTCCGATGGTCGCACGTTCGATACCTCGCACGCTATAAACGTATGTATTTATGAGTATGATTGTATCTGAATGTTTTATATATATCAGAATATTAGAAATAGAAATAGAAATAATCTTTATTCAAATAAACATATTTTGATTCTACCACTCATTCGGAATGCATATTCATTACAAGAAGAATGAGCAAGAAACTTCTGTGTTGCTCTTTTGAATAGATGTTTTTTTTATATAAATAATTACAGTATAACAAGTAAGAGGCATGCGATAAACAACATAGAAATCGCTACGCACTCATTATTAGTGTAATCAGATAGTATTGTCAGTGCTATGGATTTTAAGTTTTTCTATAAAAACATTATTATCGTTAACAAATTCTTCAATTTTATAATAATCTTTTTTTGCAAAGGAAGTATTTTATATGACATTTAAATCTTTTATTATGTATGTATTTACAAAAAATATATCGAAGTATATATCAGTTATCTAGTACCCATAACACAAGCTCTGCTTACATTGGGAGTAGATATTGTAGATAACGTTATGTGAATTGTCCGTGATTAGTTATTTATTTATTAATAATATTGTAATCTTAATAATATTATAAACGTAAAAGTTTATGAGTATGGATGTTTGTTACTCTATCACGCAAAAACTGAACGGATTTTGATGAAACTTTACAGTAATATAGCTTGTGAATCAGAATAACACATAAGCTTTATTTTGGACTGAATTTTGACGCGAGTGAAACCGCGGGCATCGTTAGTTTAAAATATAACAAATTTTATTATGCTATCTAGTTGCTATAGAATCACCTAGTATTCTGCGATTAACAGATTTGACAGACAAATCCTCACAGACCATCCATTCAACTTGTTCTATTTTTAGACCCCGATGCAAATAGACGGGTGTCACAATTTTAAAACCTTTGTGTGTAGTGTTTCAACTGTAATGGTAACAACGGATAGTTTCAGGCAGTGTTAGCTAGTAGTCTCATTTCATTCAGGAATTCTTTCTTTCTTTTTACTTTCATCATTGTTTTGTCTTACCTTTACATTATTATTTGGGATCGGTGCAAAATGTCAATTTTGTACTGGTCATTGTCGGTTTCATATCTTAGCATTATTATATATTATTATATTCTTATACATATCATCCTTTCTTTCTACAATCTGAATTGAAATATGTACGTCCTCGTTGGTCCAGCAGTTAAATCACCGCTTCACTTCCGATAGTCGCGGGTTCATTTCCTTGCACGGTACTAATAAGTACTGATCTAGGAGTTTTCTATGTATTTACAAAAACAAATATATTTGAGTATAACATCATTCGTCTAGTACTAATTCAAGTCTGCTTAGCTTGCGACTAGATCGCGCTATATGATTTATCCAGACTTATTATTTGCTAAACAATGTTTGACATTGAATTAATTAAATGAAATTTATCTGAAGTTATTGTGCAAATGAACTTCTTCAGTTATAATATCACAAAGACCAATTTATATCAAATAGTCTCTTTAAGGGAACAAAAGCGAGGATCCCATGAATCCGTCTCTTCAGTTTCCTTCTTAAGCCCTCTCTTTGTTGAAGCCTAATATCAGCGTATCGTAAAGCGATATTGTCTGTTGGTCACCCCTAGACGTAATAACTTTTCGGATATTGATTAGCTCCAATATTAAATTAAGTTTATTTTTTCTTGAATGACAGATTTGAGTAATGTTCTATATTAAATAAGTAGTGTAGTGTATAAGTAATTAAGGTAACAAGCCTGGAAGTTAAAATCCCATAATAGTTTTTATCGTTACATAGTCATTACATAGTATAAAATAAAGTCGCTGTCGCTGTCTGTTCGTCTCTATGTATGTATAGCTTTAAAACTACGCAACGGATTTTGAAGCGGTTATTTTAAAAAATAGAGTGATTCAAGAGGAAGTTTTATATATATAATACATATACACCGAGGGCGAGTAGGTAGTTATTAATAATAAATAGATATTAGTAATTATTATATTATTCAAGATAACTCACATAGCTCCATCTAATCCCAACTAAGCAAAGATTCTTCTAATGTTACTAAACAACCGATAGAAACTCCTAATTTTGAATACATACTTGTACCGTCCCAATCATAAATTGGGCATTTTTTATTCGCTTACCGCGCGTAATGTTTGTAGCGGTTACAATCGTAAGTTGGTTTTCGCGGTGAACCCACGCATGCAGGTGGAAGGGAATTGCTAGCAATGTACCATGTCAGATCGACCTCCACGCGGTTTCCCCTGGAAACCATCGTGATACATTCCCGGTGAATTTTCACGTTGGGCTAACTGATCTGACTTCATGTTGATCCTATTATCCTCCACTGGTGCCCCGTCAGCGTAAACCGTTAGCGCAGGCGGGTGCACCATTCCCATCCATTATCATCCATCTTCTTCTTTATTTTAAATGGCCGCCACCAATTTTGATCGGTGATTTTGACAATGTCATGGTTATTATCCTTTAAAATAAAAAATAATAAACCCACACATGCACTTAGCTTGATATTCGTGCGGTGTGTCGCCTCGCAAATCGTGATATTACCGAATAACCAGGATAAATCACTTCAAAGCATCTCGTTGGAATTAAGATGGAACCAGAACGTCGCAGAAGACTCGATCCAAGTAAGTGCACGGCTCCTTCTTATTTTGTTGTGATCACTCCTGAAGTGATACCAGAATGTGGCAGACGATCGAATTCCTCCGCTTCACGATGTCTTCTACACGTCTATACATATAAATAAGCTTCACGATTGCCTGTTTCTTATATTGAAAAAACCGTTTTTTACTACACGCATATGAATATAAATACAGTACATACACTAAAATAACATTTTTTGTCTGTCTGTCTATTTGTTCCGGTTAATCTCTGAAATGGCTGGTCCGATTTTGACGGACTTTTGTTGGCAGGTAGCTGATATAATAAGGAGTGACTTAGGCTACTTTTATTTTAGAAAAATAAAGTAAAACGAATGAACTTTTTGTCAAATTCCACGCGGATGAAGTCGCGAGTACAGCTAGTTTTAAACATATACATAATATACAGGAAACAATAATTAATTCTCATGAATACAAATAATCCTGTTAGGAATTAAACACGCCTATAGACCAGCGAGGACGTCGTCGTTTTGAAATTAGTATGTAATTTATAGGATTGGTAATTTATTCTTGCTAATATTATAAATGCGAAACTAACAGACAGGGAGACAGACAGGTCTGTCTGTCTCGCTATCACGCCAAAACTACTGAATTGATTTAAGTGAAATTTGGCTCACAGATAATCTAGCTACTTTTTAAAGCCAAAAAGGGTTGAAAGGGGAAATGAAAGATTGTATGAAAGTATTGTCATTTTTGAATATAAAACAATGAAACTTTTTCTATAGTTTTTTGGGGTACATTAATTTTTTATTTATTTGGTTCAGGCGGACAAAGTTGCAGGCACAGCTATGTAGTATTATGTAATACTAGCTGCAGCCGCGACTGCGCCCGCGTGGAATTTAAGTTTATTTTTTTCAAAATAAAAGTAGCCTCAGTTACTCCTTGGTACATCAGCTACCTGCCAATAAAAGTCCCGTCAAAATCGGATCAGCTATTTTCCTCTTGCTTCTAGCTACTTCGAAACAAACAGATAGACAGACAGACAAAAATTGTAAAAAATGTTATTTTGGTATATTTATATTCATATGCATGTAGTATAATACGGTCATTGAAATATTACAAACAGACAGTCCAATGTTATTTATATATATAGATTAAGCCAGATAACACAAATAGTGTTGGAAATATAGATAGTTAACATGTAGATATTAAACCTATATCGAAAGTATTACTGACAAATCAATTGCTAATCATTACATAATATAAAATAAAGTCGCTGTCGCTGTCGCTGTCGCTGTCTGTCCGTCCCTATGTATACTTAAATGTTTACAACTACGCAACGGATTTTGTAGTAGTTTTTTTAATAGATACAGTGATTCAAGAGGAAGGTTTATATATATATATATATATACATATATATAATACATGTACCCGTGCAAAGCCGGGCCAGTAGCTAGTTATGTTATAAAAAGTTTTCAATCGGTTGATAAATCCATCAATATAACTTCATTAGCCAGGTGTAGGCGTTAGAAATTGAGTTAGAAACTTATAATCCTACTTCACAATACATATAACAATGTTTAAGTTACTTTAAAACTCGTCTAAAAATTTAGCTATAAATAGATATCGTTCATTAATAGCTAAAGGTTTTTGATATTTTTTTTAATTGGTTCATATTATTTAATAATAATAATAATCTCAGGACAATTCACATACCGCTATCTAACTAGATAACTTGTACCTACAGGTTATGCTAGCTTAAGCATGTTTTATGGGTATAAGATAACTATATATACATAAAAACCACCCGATACAAATAATGATAATCATAAATACAAATGTTTGTACCGTACAAGAAATCGAACCCGCGACCGTAGGAGGTAAAGCTGTGTGCTAAACCGCTAGATCACCTAGGTCAACAAATTCTATTCGAAACATTCATAAAGCGGTCTGAACTAATGGTTACCATACCAAAAAATACCATATGTAGCAAAAACTATTTGGGTTCGGATTTCTAAGCATTTCTTTTCTAATGTAAGTCTAAAATTGCACAGGTATTATTTAGGTAATCCAACAAAAAAATACTGAAATTGCCACAAGAATCAAATTCCAGGATTACATGAGGGAAACGCCGTGGAAAAAAATTTAATAGTAAAACTAGATAAAAACTCACCTGTATGCGTGACCAGCGCCAAAGCACCAAGAGCCCCGAACAAAAATGCCACAGTCATAGCTAGATTACGTGACTGCACATAATCTCACACATCACTGGCTACCTGCAAACAAAATTATACTCTATTTTAGTGTACTACACACCCTAGATTCGTTTCAAAAATCTTACAGAAAGAGCGCACATTACACGCAATATTCAACTCTATTCACTATCTCTCGAAAACCATTCCCTACTACACCCTGAATGAGATGTGCATTTCTGCACATGCATAAAAAACTGTATTTGTAGTAGTCGCAAGGACTAGTTTGCTTTGAAATGGAATTTTTAGAACCTAACCACCGTGACCTGAATTTTAATACTGTACACATGATGCTAGAACTTAAGTAGTCTTAGTCAGCATTAGAAATGTGCAAGTAAAGGCATGTAAAGCAGAAATAATAAGCAGCCAAATATTCCACTGAGAAATATATGATCTTACTAATATTATAAACGCGAAAGTTTGTGTGCATGGATGATTGGATGTCATACTGAACTAAATTGATGAAATTTTAACAGTAATATAGCTTATACATCAGAATAACAGACAATTTAAAAAGATATATAAATTAGTCTAGTAAGTAGCTAGTTATAATAATGATATTTGTCATTAGTAAAGCTGTAGCACACAGTAATATAGTAAAAGGTTTAATTATTACTTAAAATAATGAGCAAGTACAAAGTGTAATGAATAAATGAAATATTGTGATTAATTGCCGAAATTTTTGTTTTAAAATATGAAAACATATCATACGACATGCTATGTTTGACACTCTTCTTGGTAAAATTCAGAGTAAAGTTATTTTTCCAATAGAAGTAACAACAAATGTTCATGTTTAATGATTAATTTGGGCAAACACTAGCATCCATTGAAGAATACGTACGTACATTCTTACTTATGAAAAAAAAACAAACGGTACACTTCAAGACGTTAAGATGGAGTCATGGAATTGAGTTAGCATTCTTCCATAAAGAGAGCGGTATCTACTGAAACTATTTACAAAAACTTCCCCACATAACTCAATAGCCACAGTAGAATTAGATAGATACTTTCAGGGACTAGAACTACGAGTAACAATATTTCTACTGATACAATGTCAATGACATATCCAAACATTATTTCATCCTTTACGTTCTGTCGTATTTATTTTCATAGACGGAACCCGCTGTTATATAATAAAATTGAAGTAGACCTTATTTACTAGGAGATAAAAACTATTTCTCCATGTTATTGCTATTTGTTATATTTCAAAGCAATATGTTCCTTACGCTGAAGTATTAAAACACACTATTGTACTGTATTTAGTGTCCGTGTTAAGTGTGATCATTCGTCTGTGAATAGGGTTGTGTAATACATTCCGGTGGGTTGGTAAATGTGACAGGAAAGAAATTCTCCTCTCACTTTACTGGTTGATGTATACGGGTTCAGTATTGGTATGAAAATCTTTGAAAATTTTCTAGGGATATACTCGCAATATATGGTTTTAGCAGGATCAGTTGATATGATTGAAAGTTAAAAAACAGGTAGCTCTTTTAAATAATAATGTTACCTATTCTCATTTGCTTCTTCTTTGTCCCATTCATTTGGGTTCAGCATAATATGTTTTTCTCTTCCATACATCCTCTTTGCAGTCTCCTCGTCATTCACTCTCCCTCTTGTCACATCATTTTTTACACAGTCAATCCATCTCTTTTTCGGCCTTCCTCTGCCCTTATAGCCATCCAGATTCATATATAACAGTTTCTAAAATAATTGTAGCTTTATGTCTATACATATTTTCAAAATATTAACGTTGGATCTTTGTCAAATAATCAGGCTTAATTCCTCGATCGTCCACAGAATTTGCAAATAATTACTTGTGTACCTTTAATTTGATCTAAATTAAATTGTGTGTACATTATGTTCGTGGTTTTGGTGTTGTCCAAATACCACCCCAGCCGAAACTATATCCATTATCGGAATGCTTCATGTACTACAAGTTGCTTATGAACTGAAACTAGTAAATTAATAGCGAAACAATCTACATGGACGTATGCATATTTTATGGCAATCAAAAATATTTTCACACAACCTTAGTTAAGAAGCTAGCATGTTCACATAACAAACATTATTTTACTTCAAGCTAAGTTTAACTATTGCTAAAAACTGTGTTATAATCATTTTTAAAGATATGTATCTATAAAGATATGTATCTATATCTCTCTTATTCTATGTAAAGATTCATTTTCAATTTAAGGACTTTGGATTTCGTGTTACCCAACCTAGCTATAAAATTAGAACATATGAAACTCGTAGACTCAACATCACTTTTGAATATTGCTCACGTAAATGAATGTGGTAGTAGAATATAAAATATGACTATTCAAAAATGCTTATTTAAATAAAGATTATTTCTACTTCTATTTATTATTTTCTATCAGCCAAATCCCAAGCTCAGTATGGTAATTTTCTATATAAAATGAAATCAGATTTGAACACAGTGATCTTTTGAATTTTATAATTACCTTTTTATCTTCAAAGCAAAACATTTTTGCTACTCATTAACGAGCTTCCACATTAATCTCAATTAGCACCTCACTCTCATCCTATCAGTGTAAACCAGTGGAGCGGGATAGTTTTGCCATTTCATTGAAATGTCTTCAAACATCTTCGTAAACTTTCACATTTGTATCAACAGTGCTATGAACATAACAAACAATTTACAGACCAAATATCTATTCAGAATCTATACTTATATATCCTGTTTGACCACTAATCTTCATGATTAATCAGCTCAAGAACTTTAGTAGTTATTTTGACAAATACTAGAGACGTACCGGCCCTATTCCGCACCCGTTCAAACTTGTCTCGGGCAGTCCGTCCCTCCCAATAGTTTACTTAATGAAGTAAGCGTATAGCTACTCAATGCTTGACCTCTTTTGGCTGTGATCCAGTAACATGCTAGCTTCTATGGTTTCAAATTTTGTAGCAAATTTGTAACACAATATAACAATAAACACAGTAAAGGAGTTGAGTGTTTTTAAAACTTCTAGCGAATTTCAGAGCATGTTCGTTTAAACAGTAGATGGATTATTCTTGATAAAATCTTTTCTATATTTGAGTTGGTTTCGTGATAATGCGAAGTAAGTTTTGTAAGACTATCATCAGGAAATGGTGGATTGGCTTAAATAATTTAATAGTAACAGAAAATCAGGACAAAACCAGACCATCTGACGCGTATATTTGCTTGCTTGTCTGTTCGCGATATCAATTTTTTTTAATCAAATGTATATGAAAGTAAATAAGAAAATGACATGAAAAAAATCTTCTTCTTGTGCTTGTTTTTTTCTAATTTCTGAAATAGATGGACCGTTGTTTACGAAACTTTCACTCATATTATAAGCATAGCTTATATTACTTAGGCTACTTATATTTTAGAAAAAAAATGTTTTATTTCAAGTGAACGAAGTCGCGGGGAGCAGCTATACATTCATATACTATTCACTAGATTTGCTCGCGGCTTCGCTCGCGTTAATTTATCCCCTTAAGGGTGGAATTTATCAAAATCCTTTCTTAGCGGATGCCTACGACGTAACATCTACCTGCATGCTAAATTTCAGCCCGGTCCGTCCAGTGGTTTGGGCTGTGCGTTGATAGATCACTACATCAGTCACCTTTGAGTTATATATTTATGTAGATGTAGATTAAATAAAAAAAATACCTATACATTGAAATTAAATAAAATTTGATATTTATAGACTCTTTGTGTATATCATACCACAATTGTCAAGATTATACATATATAAAATAATGATCAATCAAAATTTTCAGAGCTAAACACAATAATATCTATTAAATTATGTAGCTCAAATCCCGATTTCACTTCATCATCTCATCTGTCTATATTTGTGCAAATGAAATGTCAAAACTTAGACGGTTCATGTAATCTCTAACGTGAACTGAATTTGCTTAATTCGCTTCGCTAACAGTGTCACGTATTAACGCTAGTATTAATTCAATAACGTTGGATTTGAGGAACGATGTCAAGGTGGATTCATGTGCAAATGAGACAGCAGTTTTAAGAAAAGCCCTATTAACACATTCACTAATAAAATATGTAGCAATAGACACACACACGTGTTATCTAAATATAGATAACTCAAAGGTGACAGACATAGTGATCTATCAACGCACAGCCCAAACCACTAGACGGATCGGCCTGAAATTTGGAATGAATTTATGACATAGGGATGCCTATATGCTAAGAAAGGATTTTGATTAATTCTATACCCAAGGAGATAAAATAGGGGATGAAAGTTTGTATGAAACTTTGTTAATTTTGAACCGTTCGGGCTGAGACTATGCATATATATAGCTACTATGACGTAGGCATCTCCTAAAAAAGGATTTTGATTAATTCCACCCCTAAGGGGATAAAATAGGGGATGAAAGTTTGTATGAGTGTACTGTAAAGCCGTAAAAACTATACCTAATAATAATACTTGTTAACGCGAGTGAAGCCGCGGGCAAAAGCTAGTAAAGCTATAAAATTGATGAAAGTATCACAATATTGTAGGGTTATTATTATTATTTCGCTTCGTTATTTATTTACTTATGCAGTTGTTTCTGTATTTAATATTTTGACTGTAATGAGTAGTGCTAGCTAAAATGAGTTAGTACTAGTTAGTAGTTTGTATTCATACATTTCAACTTAATAATATAATGTTACAACAACAATTTAAAAGAGCAACACGCGATTCTCTTATTCATTTTTCTTGTGATTAAATAGATTTTTGACTTAAGACAAAATCTTCAAAAAATAATGCTGAACAACAATATTCTTCCTCGTTCTTGTGACAAGTCTCTTTCCGAATGAGTGGTAGAAAAAATGTGACTATTCAAAAGTGCTCATAATAAGTTCATTTAAATAAAGAATATACCTATTTCTCACTTATTCTCTTTTTTAAACGTTATGTAGAAGAGGTTGTTAGAGTCTTTTGTACTGAATTTTATTACATTCTTTTCTATTTTAGATCTTATATAACGTTGGTGCACTAAAGTATTAATAAAATAAAGTTCCTACTGTT